AATCCATTTGCAACAAAAGATGGTCCAGGGATGTTTGACAGTGTGGAACTAGGAAGGTTACAAAAAGAAGTTGCAAAGCAATTACAGTTTGAAATTAAAGAAGCTGACACTGAAAATTGCAAGATGCTTGCAGCAGGCAGTTGGAATGTGTTCACTTTGCAGCTTGAAGGCAATTCTCCTTAGGATAAGAGTGAGAAATTCAAGGCCTGCTTTTCAAGAGTGTTGAATGCTTATGTGAGGAGAGCTGCAGGTGCTAACACTCTTATACAAAGTGAGTGACTCCCCCGGCATTTCTCACCATCCCAAAGGGAAGGCTGAGTGCATGGGACTTGGGTTTTCCTTTCCGATGGGTTAAAGGGAGTAAATTCCAGAACATCAAATCTTTGGAAAAATGAGGCTATAGTTGCAATATGTTTATTCATTTCTCGTACTCTCTACTCTAAATCAAAGGTAATTGTCTCACCTTTCTTTTTTTCCTTATTCACATTCAATTCTTAGGCTTCATTGTTTTGAAGCAACATATCCAAATGGCTCATTCCAAAGCTTTTTCCTGATCATTAGTGAAATTTTATGAACTCAGAGTTCTCGAAAGAGAGTTCATGTAATTAAAATTTCTTTGCCTTCTCCCTGTTCTCTCTGCTCCATTGCTGCCATTCCCACAGGTCCATCGTCTTGAGGACTATGTCCTCATGGGGCCATATGTCTTCTACTATTTTTCCTGTTGTTCCTAATTTGCAAGCCCTCATCAGAAATACCAGACCATGTGGGTACCTGAAAAGTTGTCAGCGACTCCTACTGAAATGCCCAGTGAATTCTTGCTCCTATACTTGATAGGCTCAGACCATCCCAAAATCACTGACGCTCAAGTTGGCAACCCTCAATGACTCTTCAGCTACCTTCTCCTCCCTGTGAAACTTGTTCTGCCACACATGGGCAAACTAGTGGCACATTAAGGGGAGGCCTTACACTGTTAATTAGTTCTGCAGATAAATAGAAAACTTTAGTTTCCAAGGTAATAAAAATGCATGTTGTAAAACTCCTACAAAATGGAGTAAAGAGACCTAATAGCTTATCCTTTGTCAAACCTGAGCTCTCCTCCTAGTACTCACCGTGACCAAAGGTATGTATCTTGATTCTTTCTGCCTCAATTCCTCCATCTTTAATGAGAGGATAATAAAATACACCTAAAGCACTCCTAGGTTCACTGTTACAAGACACACATGTACCAAATATCTGTTTTGATGATGTAGCTAATCACAGCGCTGAAATTGCGTTGCCAATGCAATTTTTAGGAACAGCATCAAAAGACTTCGTGACTTGAAGTGCTTAGTTTTGGGTGGCGACATGAAAAGATCACACCGCCTGGTGTGTACAATCCTGACTCAAACCCACCTACCCCCCCCAAAACCTGCCATATCGAACTCATTGTTTTGTATGAGGATTCTCTGTTTGCTACACTCCTCTCCATCGCTGCCCTCCATGCCAGCTTGAGGCAGCCTGATAATGCTGTTCTTTCACTGTGAAATCTTGCACACAGCTGAGCAACCCAGTGCAATGATTGCTCATAAATCCAGTTTCGCAAGAGGCTGGTGAACTGGTAAAAATACTCTGAACAGCAGCATAGCATTTGGGACACACTAAATAAAAAGTGAAGCTTTCTTTGATACTGATGTTTACATGCCATGTAATTATTATTATCATTGAAAATCCCGACTTCCTTTCTTTGAACATAATGTCTAAACAGGAAAAAGGTAACCTTCCTGTTTGGAGAATTGTTAGTTTCAGAAGAAATATATTTTTTCTCTCTTGCTTGCAGTTCTCAAAGATTTTATTTTTAATACAAATGAAAAAAGACAAACAATAGGCTATCTAAAAGGAAGGAAAACTGCATGTCTGAAACAAACAGAGTCTGCTATGAATAGATAGTCTTTGCACTATGAAATAATTCATGCCATACCTACATACTGACTTTTGCATATTGGGAAAGGAAATGTAGACTTATTTTTGGCACCCACTACACTGTATATGCACAGTACAAAAAGCAAAGTTAAGGTTAGAAAGGGAAGAGAAGCCTCCTGTCAATCTGCACTAACAGCAAGAAGCAATCACATAGGAGCTGGCCTGCCCCACTGATGTGATGCAAGGCTGACTAATAAGGCTGAATTTAAAATTCCTGGTACCTGCTCAAGTCAGTGCTCACAGTGGCCTTCTGGGTAAATCTTGGCTTCTAAACTTTACTTTGCAGCTTTTGTTTAGCTAAAGGAAATAATGATGGAGCAGCACCTGCGGCGCCGTTCCTGGTGTATGGAATCTTTGATGGCTGCCAGGAGCAGCACAGTGAGAATGAAGACCAGGATGCTCAGCTCATCTTTGTGAGAGACAAATCAGAAAGCAGGTAACTAAAAGCTGAGTATGAAAAAGTGCTCACACCCAAAGGCAGAAAGAGCTGTTTGGCATTCCAAAGGTGTGATACCTTCTCAGAATCTGACAAACAGCCTAATGAAATAACCACCAGAAGAGGCCTTGTGAGGTCTGCTGATGTCAATTTTTCTGTATGGGAAGTGTTCATGTTGCCACTTCTCCTTCCCATTATTTCATTGCAGTCAAGGCTGTAGTTTTGCTGATCCTACTTAATAGCAACAACTAAAACATCTTGCACGAATGGAAGAGGATATATGTGATGTAAGACCACTGCCCAGAGAGGGATGGAAAGCTGGAGAGGCCAGCCTGTCTTTTCTTCATCATCTTCCTAAAGTTCTTTATTCAAGGCCTGACTAATTCAGATGTTCCTCACAGCTATGCAGAAGTCCTGAAATATTTGTACTATTTCAAAAAGTCTTTCCTATTCATGGACTGCATGAATATCTACCTTCTTATGATCCTGAAGAAAGTGAAAAATGTCTTACATGGTCAAACACCAGACATGTATAGTTGTTTCCTAATCTCTGGGGTTTTTTTTACACCAGTCTTCTGATTTTGGAAGCCTTATTTTACAGAACTGCCTGCTTGCTGTTGGTAGTACTGTATAAGTGCAAAGAAACTCTACAAATATTTGCTTGCACTAGTCCTATTTTCAGGTGAATCCACTTGCTACGTCAGGGCATTATGCTGGCTCATGTTTGTAGAGTCAGACCCTAAAGATGTGTGTTGTTCCTTGTCTGTCTTTCCTTGCTTCATGTTTCCACTTCTCATGGAACCCAAGTCCCCTTTCTATGGCAAGATGCTTAAGCACGTGTACCCTTCCTAACTTAGCTGCTTTGCCAGAGATTCGCATGTGAAGCTTCTGCTCCATTTGCAGCATCTTCACCGCTCACTCCTACCACTCAGTGGTGTGTTGCTCTTCATCTGTAAGTATTTTGCCAGGTATGAGCCTTGCTGTGTGATTTAACTGGACTGCTGCTATTTGCAGCTCCAGCAAGAAGAGAACATGTTAAAGCCATTGTAAAGTAATCACTACCACATGAACTTGAGAAGGTGGGATCCCATGGTCTGAAATGCAGATGGTCTCTGGCAGTGAGATGGAGAGCTGTCCTGCTGAAAAAGACCCAGAAGTCAGCAGAGGAGCTGAGTTAATGATGTGACACAAGAAAATTAAAGGCAGAGTGATTCTGAGCAACGTAGGAGTGTCCCACTCGAAACTGAACTCTCTGCAGTCTCACTACCTAGTGTTCTCCACACAGGTAGTGCCTCTGTTGGGGTGGGAGCAATACTAACTGTTAGTAGTTAGATTCATCACCTTGTTAATTAACAAGGTGATGTATCTACCTGCATGTGGAACAGTCTCTCTGAGGAGGGATTAGGGATTGGGATTAGCAAATATAATTACAGTTTACTGAGACTAGTATGCGTGTCAGAGTGGAGGGGAAGCCTGGTTTCACTGTATATGAAATAATAATAATGTGAAATAATAATAATGTAAAATGTGAAATAATATGTAGGCATATAATTGTTGGCTTCTGTTACTCTCCACAGGGATATGTTTGTAGAATCTGGGTTCTGGTCCCGAGTGCCTTGATTTTGAGGAGGAGTCCTTGCAATCCTTGGACTCTGATAGGCTGGATACCTGTTGCTGTTGAACAATATTGCCCGCTTGACCTGTTAATGCATATAATATATATTGCAATGGTGGCGGGAGGCTTTTACCATTGAATATCTGAGCTGATACCACGGGGCACTGAGTCACTGTCCTCTGAATATTCCCTGTGCTGCTACTGCAAATAAATTCACCACCTTCCATCTTAATAGCTTGCTTTAGAGCCAGTGCCACACTTCACACCCTATTCTGGACACCCTCCAACAAGTTAATGTTTTTCACTGAGGAAGGTGAGTAAAACTGATGAGAGTATCTTTAACTAAGGAGCCATAAAATTCTAATAGAGCAGTAATGTTCCCAGCGAGCCTGAAGGAAATCCGATCAATAGTTATGAGGTTGAGGCTCAATTTAAGGCTCAATTTATGGCCTTAATTCATCAAACATAGTCATTCTCCATTTTTGTACAGGATGCTTTTGTGGTTCCTGCTGAGCAGAGGAGTATAAAGTCTGCACAAGCTCTTTCTCGACAATTCCCCAGGCTTTGTCATTTAAGATAGGTGACTCTACAGAGGTGATGTTCAGGGTTCTGGGATCTATTTGAAGGTGATTTTTCATCATATAGGACAGACTGCACCAGCTGCATTTGTTCTGAGCTTCTCAGGCTTGGAATGGTTTCACAGCGAGTAAAAAAGATGTTTTGGATCTCTTTAAAATTTGACTCTGCAGTTATTCATATGCCTGTAGACCACTCCACAATCAGGAATGGTTCAACAGCATGTTCTCCAAAAAGCCTTTTACTGCTTTTTGTAGACCCCTTGCAACAGAGTTTGAAAGGTGCAGATGAGGGCTGGGCTTCTTCTACATTTCTAAGCTGCCTCTGTGGTAGAAAGAAGTTTTCCCAGATGCTTCTGACACAGGTGTGGATCTCTTTTTTTCCAAAATGGTATGCAAGCACAGAGGCGGACAATGAAATTTCATGCAAAGGTTTTATTAAAACCTTTCTATAAAATGACAGATCTTTCCAAAGACTGAAGTAAATGCAACCTTTATGTACCCACCTCCCACCAGTGGCATGAGGTAGACAAAAGGATCTCAAATGAAAGAGCCATAATTAAAGACATCTATTGTATGTACTTGTCATTCCTGCATACAGAGGTTAGCAGAAGTAAGTTTTAACTACCTGAAGTGATAGGAGTGTCTTGTAAGTATACAGTAAGGTCGTAGCTGGGGAGGGCTCTTAATCAACACTTGACCAAAAAATGTTTTGTGACAATCATTCAAATATAATTTCTAAGGGTGCTTTTAAAATCCCCAACTCTTACACCACGTACAGATCCACAAACAACCCGGAGCTGCAGATGATCTTCATTGTACAGACTCATTCCCGAAATGCCTGTGGTGGCTTTTCTGACCGCCCAGGGGGGCTCTGGGAAGCCAGGGCTGCTGGTGACTTCCTAGCCCTCGCTCTGCAGGACCATTTTCCCCCACTGCCAGCAGCTGCAGTAGCGGGGAGGCAGGAGGGGTTCTGGAAACCCGGGCTGTTACCTGAGCCAACAGCGACACCCAGGGATTCACCAGCACAGTCCATCCCTTCTTTGATCTGCAATCCCCTGTCCCATGCCCCCTGAAAAATATTCCAAGGTTTACCCATTTTTCTCTTCCTGAGTGACTACACTGATTAAGAGGGAAGAAATACTGTAGTAATTATAGTAATTTTCTCTATAGAAATCCTGTATACTTGTGAGCTGAGAGTAAATTAGATCAGCCACAGGCACATCTATATTCAAATGAGTGCATTCACATTTCATCTCTATCAAAACAGTTAGGATGGTATTATTTGTTTGCAGCTAAGGTCAAGACAGACAACTTATAAAACCTCCCATTCCTGCTTCCTCACTACAGCAAAAAGCCCCACTGAGGCCCTGCTGAAAGTATTTTGGTAAGCTTTTGTTGAATAAATGTACAGAGATGAACAGTACACTCAAGGAGTACGTCACAATCAAAATAATAAGTGCAGGTTCTGTATCAGTGAACACCGAGTCAGACTTCTATTAAAATGACCCTGAACAACTCCTTGAAGACACATACCTGAGCAAACAGTGGTAAAATAATTAGAGAAGTAAGAGACTACCAGGCATTTATGACTCCAGAAAAACATTTCAGTAGAAGCAGAAAAACACCTTAGAATTGATCAGGACACAGGATGTGCTGAGAACAACCCAAATTACACAGTACAATTACAAAGTGCAAGTGTACTTCCCAATCCCAGCATGCCAATGCTGTCTGTCAGTCACTGGGCCATTGGCCCTGTCACAGGTGTACAGCCTGCACGGCTACTGAGGTAGTCTCTTGTTTGCTTTTCAAGCCTGGGCTTGCTTCAGATCCAAAGGGAATGCCTGCTCCTCTCTGCAGGGCAGAAGGCAGCTCAACTGAAAAAGCACTAGGCTGAAACAGCAGCAAATGAAGTAGACCAGTGACTGTAGCTTTACGACAACAGAAGTTGTGAAGGGAAAGGGCACGAATGAAGTCCAAAGTTTGTATGTTCCAGTTGAGAAGCTGAGGATAATTGAGTAGGAAACAAACAAATGAAATCTGTGTTACAACAATTTAAAGCATAAAGGTGCGAAACAATGATTCGACTTTGAAATGGAGCATGAGAAGTTACAGGTTCAGAAAGCACAGAAATAGTCCATGAACTGATGTTCAGGCAGTGCCTGCAAGCATATTTGGTCACTCCATGGGCTCTTTTTAAAAAAACAACCATGAGCATCCTTCTCTAACTGAAACAGACCCGTGAAGTAGGTAGTACTCTGAAAATCAGGACTGAATTGTCTAAAGATGAACATCCAAAATGTGGAGTATCTATGATTCATTTAATTCTTCTGAAAATTTGTGTCATAGTCCATAAAATAATAGTACTTTCGTCTATTTGCTCGGTGCTTTCAAGCTGTCTCTATGTTTTGTAGGATTTATACTGAATCAGTTATCATTCTGCCTGTCTTTTCAAGGAAAGATGAACCAAACTTCTGTTTACTCCTGCCATGGCTCAGCTGGAAATGGGATATTCGCCAGGAACTCACACACTGTCAGTGTGAGACCGTTGCTACAGTCTGCAGCTCAATACCATTGGCTTTCCTTTGTACCTTTTTCTCCTTCAGAATTTGGGACGAAAGGTTATTTAAAAACCAGTCTACATCTTGATAATCTTCAGGCCACCGCAAATACCGACTCCTTTGTAAGAAGTTTCGAATTGGTTTGTGTTTCATCAGTTGATATTGAGAAAGTGACCCAACCACTACCATTATGAGGACATCTTTCAGATCAGAGAAGTACCTGCTCTGGGCAAAATTGAAGGCTTCCACACACCACCCATCTTTGAGAAACTGCCTGGTCACAATACAAATTGTTTTCCTGCTGTTCCAAATGGCATCACGAATGTTATTGATATGTTCTTCCCCAGGCAAGAAGTCTCTTTCCTCAAAACACAAGGTAAATCTGTTTTTATCCAAATACTGTGAATCCAGGTGCTTTAGCAAAGCATTCTGGACCCATTCAAAGTCATTTTTGCTGTAGCACAGATACGCATCATATCTGTATTCACATTTATTTGTTACTTGTGGATGGCTGGCTATTATTTTTTTGGTGATAGTTTTATACCAGATAAAACAAATCCCCCGACAGCGAGTAAAAATGACGGCTGACACCAGAAACATGAGAAAGGTGACAGAGAAGAAGATGAATAGTGAGAACCTGAGTGCCTGCTGGAGTTCATCTTCATCACAACCATCATATTCCAGATACGACAGTGGTACCCCTGCAAATTCAGGTGGGTAGGCACAGTACCTGTCAGATTCGGAGCCAGCTAGGGTTACATTGGTGTCATTTAGCCACACTAGTAGGCTCTTTAAAGAGCAATCACAGACATACTTATTATGTGTTATATCCAGAATATTCAAAGTCATAAAGACTTCAGGCTCAGGGGAAAGCAGCTGGTTTCCAGATAAGTTGAGGTGCATTAGGCTCTCCGGAAAAAGCCCAGGAGAAAGATGAGACAGCAGATTGGAAGCCAGATTAAGGGTTTTTAGAGATGTTAGACCTCTAAAAATGTCCTGTGGAAGAGCACTGAGGTAGTTGTTATTCAGATGGAGAACCTCGAGTTTGGACAGTGCCCCAAACACATCCAAACATAAGTCTCTCTCCCACACAAGCTGTAACATATTTTCACCCAGATCCATATAGGTTAACTGACTATTTTGTATAGCATTATCACTTTTCACACAGTAAGAGAACCGATTCTGTTTTAAGAAGATATATTGCAGATCTGGAACTTGGAAAAGAATGTACAGGTCACCTACATTTGCCAACCAATTTCTTTCTAAATCTAGGTATGCTGTATCTATTCTTGTGTAGGCTACAGTCATTAGCTTATTGTCACCTAAAGAGGCATATGTCAGACGTGGAAAGGAAGGGAGCTTTTTAATGGCATTGTCTCGGAGATCAATTATTTTCAGACTTACTAAGTGATGGAATGATTTTTCACCAATCATCCCAATATGATTCTGCTGTAAATCAATATATGCTACACTGCGTAGACCCTCAAAAGTATGATCATACAACTCACCTAAAAGATTACTTGAGAGATTGAGGATTTTTAGGTTGCCCAAGCCAAAAAATGCTTGTCTTTCAATTTGATTTATCTTGTTTTTGAAAAGGTTCAGCACTTCCAGATTACCAAGGCTTTGAAAGACTAAAGGGTTGAGAGAGAAAATGTAACCCCCTGAAATATCAAGGGAACTAAGATCACTTCTTTCTAGTCCTGCAAAAGTATAATTATCTGGATTTTTTAAGTTTTGAAAGCCAAATCCTGAACCCATTATATGAGTGCTAAATATTAAAGACCTGATTTGAGTCCCTTTAATGGCTGTACAGAAATATTGGACTCTCTCCGTGCTCCAGCCATTTTTGCTAAGGTCTAGTGAGTTAAATGTAATATTTTTTAAAGGATTTGGGCATTTGGCCCAGTCTACACTTTCTGCCTTGTACAAAAAATTAGAACTGAGGCTGAACAATAAAAAATGTTTTCCTCGGAAGCTGGTAAGATTGCTCTGACACAGGTCGGATATGTAGTTGGATTTCAGGTTCACAGTTTTCAGGGCTGTTAGATTATAAAATAATGGATGAGGCTGAAGTCTGGTGATTTTGTTCCCTGAAAGATCCAATTCTTCTAATGATCTCAAATCTTGAAAGTAACGTTCCTCAAGGATGGAATTTCCAAGGTAGTTCCCAAACAGACGGAGTACAGTCAGACTTGGCAAACCCACAAAAGCATCAAGATCTGGTTGAAGAATCCTATTGTATCCCAAATCTAATATACGAAGGTTTGGCAGGTTCTTGAAAGCTCCTTTCCCTATGGTAACAGGATAGACCAACTGCGTTCCGAATTCCAACAACAACAAGTGCTCCAGCAGTGGAAACGAAGTTTCAGTCACTCGGATGATATAGTTGGAAGTTAGGAAAAGCTTCACCGTATCCTTCGGCACAAGTGGAATATCTGTGAGGTTGCAGAAAAAATATATGGAGACTTGGGCTTCTGAGTAGCAGCTTCTAGATGCACACACCCCACTAGCTAGTGAGAGTCCAAAGACAAGCACTAGCTGATGACATAACATCATGAACCTAGGTGAAACAAAGTGAAAATAGAGAGCATTAATTCTGCAGTTGGCTATCTATGCAGTGAGTTGTAGAGCCCCTTTTTAACAGTTGTGGAAGAGAGGACTAATGTCACACTAAAAGTTACTAGTGGTTTGGGAATCTATCCTTTCTCTGAAGTCTAACAGGTACTATCTGATAGGCTGTCTGGTCAGAACATGGGTCCCAAAGAGATGTGAGCAACTCCTATGACCTAAAAAGTAACTCTTCTTTATGTACCTTAAGGGTGGCACCATAACCCCACTAGGCAGGTGCTGAAATCTCGGCCTAGCTATTTAATTTGCACCATGGAACAGGTAATGCTGGTGTATTAGCTTAATTCCTTTATCAGTTATTCAAACAGGTTTTAAACAGTTTGGAATACCCAAGTAAAGTGCAATCATCCAGTCATCTTAACAGACCAGGCCAACGCTGCTCTTTCCCTGAGCACTCTCCTTGTGAGGGCTATTACCTACTTGGAATTTAGATTGCTGTCATACAGAACTACCTAACAGCCTCGAATTTTAAAGAGGAGGACCTCTTTTGGGGCTCCTGGAGCCTCAGACTACGCTGACAATATGAAATTTTTCTTGAAATGGTTGTGAGATAGTTTTGAAAGTATAGGCAGGAACAAGGTTTACGCTGAAGGAACAGAAAAGACACAGTAGCCTGAAACTGTCCTGTGAGATTTCATGTTTCATGAAAAACTGTATTTCCTGAACTGTAAGTTCCTAAGTTATACAAAAAGGTGGATAACGTAATTTAGACAGCTTGCTGATGAATCCATTTATTAATATATTCCCACTCTGTATTTTCCTTGCATTATGCCATCTGTCTGCCTGTCTCCCTTTTTATCCAAGACAAAAACCTCTTCAAAGCAAGGAAGGTCTTTTTTACTGAGCATGGTAAAGAACAGAGCAAATTATTAGCCCTAAAGTGATTGCTTGTGTACTGTAGTTTTTAAAAAAATCCCTTCTAAGATTGCAACCATCTGCTTCTGCTTTTAGACAAGCGTTTATTGAAATGAAATGATAACCCAATGGAAGAATTTTTGTGTCCTCCAGCACAATCTGCTTAAAAATTGGTAAGTGTAAACTCTTGGGGAGCCAAGCCCCCAGTAGCCATCTAACGTCTGCAAAGTAAATCTACTTCAGAGAGGAAAAAAGTGGGGCTTTGAACAATTATTGTTCTGATTTGAGCACACTGCTTCTTTAAAGCACAAGTACAAGACTCTATGCAGAATATTGTATTATTAAACTAAAATCATCTTATGCTTTTTGCTGTCATACAAAGGGATTTCTGGGAAATGTCAGTAGAAACCACTATGACATTCCCATTGCAAATACCAAAGGAAAGAGAAAGCCAATTTTTAGAGACTATCTGCTACATAGGCAATACAAGGATATTACAGCACAGTCCAATCTCACTCTACCAAACATCTCAAAGTCATTTGATTATATTAAAACTCTAACTTGTAAGAGCTGTGACTACTAGAGTGAGTCTGCAAATTTTCACCCTAGAGGCTCAAACACCAAATGGGAAACACAAATACCTTGCAACTTAAAATACTAATCTTTAAATTTTTAGGACATTCTTGTGTGCTTAGGACAAGATCTGATTCTTGAGGTAAAAGAGATTATGAATATAGGATACGAATGTTGAATTCTGAAGTCCTGGCATTCAAATTTCATTAGCATTTTGTCTCACAAAGGAATTTAGGATGTGCTGTAAAGAAAAGCAAATATGCTGCAAAGAAAAACAAATTGTAGGTAGTGAGTATCAAAATTCTGTTTTATTGAGCATAGTAAAGAACAGAGCAAATTATTAGCCCTAAGGTGGTTGGTTTTGTACTGTACTTTAAAAAAACACTTAAGAGATTTTAACTTCTTCTATGGGGAATAATTCCAAGTACTAGAATATAATTGTATTTACTACCCTCTTTTTTGACCTAGCATACACTTTTAAAGGGGACATTATAAACAGTAAACTATGTAATGTTTGTTGTTGTTACTACAGAATGTTGTAGGTTATTAAGAAAGACCCAAACATATAACAGATGATTCAAGATCTTGTTTACATTTTTACATTTTTCTTTCCTAGAACCGTGAAAACAAAGCACCAAGTTTCCCTTTTAGTATTTGACAACTATGACATTGGTTCTTGCTGACATTGTAATATAAGATGTTTAGCACAAATAGTTTTAAATTACATTTATCTTTCAGGCTTTTACGTTTTCATTCCTTGTATTTGCACAGATGCTATGGCTAGTTTTTAAAGTTTGGCAAAATCACTGCATTATCAAAAGCAGTGGCAGACAGAAAATACTTTGGAAGTCAATATTTGATGGACACGTACAATAGACAGCTAGAAAAAGATCAAAATGCTTAGAATGGAACACTTAGGAAATGTTGTTTTTAAATTTTAAAATGTTATTTTATTTTCTTTATTAGAATATAAGAAAATGGTGAAAGATTTTAGCCACCTTTCCCTTTATACTTACTTGCTTTTCCACATTCTTGTAAGTTAAACAAATACCTAACTATTTTTTAACAGTTGTTACACTCCACCTCTGCTCTGGTTTACTGACAAGGAAGATTTCACTTGTAAACTCTTTGCTGCCTCAATTTTTTCCACACAAGTTACTACCTTCTCTCCCAAATCTTGTCCCTCCATGAGCAGGAGGGTGATGCTGGCAGTAAGTAATGCCTCTTACTGCTCTCATGACGACAACAAAGATTTGTATTTTAACAGAATCCCATCATGTAGCATTTTATGTAACCCTTCACCACTGTACGTTAGCCTTTAAAATGCTTTGGGAAGAATATTCTTCCCACAAAACGAGGATCCTCCCATTCAATTACATGTCTGTGCATGGACATGGAGATGAAGGGATGTCTAAATGCTTCATTCATAGAATCTCAGAATCTTTAAGGTTGGAAAAGACCACCAAGGTCACCAAGTCCTACCTATGACCAAACACCACCATGCCAATTAAACCATAGCACTAAGTGCAACATCCAGTCATTTCTTGAACACCTCCAGGGATGGTGACTCCACTACCTACCTGGGCTGCCTGTTTAACACCCTTTGAAAACGTTTTTCCTGATGTCCAACCTTAATCTTCCCTCATGGAGCTTGAGACTCTATCCTCTTGTCCTGTCAATTATTGAAAATTTTCATTATTGAAAACTGGAGCAATGAAGTTTAGAGAATCAGGGCCCAATAGGAGTGGGATGAAAAATGCAGCAAATGCTTTTGGGATGGGAAGTCCTAAGCAGGCCACGTTTCTGAGCAATGGAAAGAACTTTTACAATACAGGGTGGATATTCTACCTAGATCTAAAGGCATAAGTGAGTGCATACAGAATGCACATACTCTAGCTCTGGTCTCAGCCTCCTGTGCATCTGGATCAGGGAAGGCAGATGCAGATGCTTTGAGTCATCTGGAACTTTCAATATTGTACTTACTTTTTTGTAAAACTTTTGTTAACCTGGTTTAAATCACCTAGAAACTTTCACTAGCACAGTAAAAAAGGATGGGAACTGGCAGTACCTGAGAGTGGATGTTGTAGCTGTGCCTGTTTATCTCAGCACAGCTGTGTATGCCTTAGGACACCCAGAGAGACTGTCAGTAAGCAAGGCTTGAAGTAAAGCTGAAAAGAGGCTGTCTCTTTTTGTTATTCATGCCAGAGTAACAACTCTCCCATGGAGAGTTAGAAAGCACTTGCCATTCCCCTTTCCACACCCCCAACAAAAATACACTGGATTCCACATAAATAAAGAATGGGTTACATACCCTGCTTCTGTCCTTGCTGAGGCCTGAGGCTTGCTTTTAAAAAGAGTGACCTGAAAGGAAAATTTCAGTCTCAGAAGTGGTTTTGTGCAGCAGCAGCCTCCTGTGCTTCTGTCACATAACCCTAGTTTAAACGAGAACCAGCACACACCAGTGGGAGGGAACAGGTATGAACTATGTGTGCTTATGAAAATGAGCAGCAGGCCTAAGTGTTCTCAGTTGTCAGCCATAGGTTTTGGGGGAAAAAGCAGCAGAAGTGCTAGCTATCTGGGTGGACTCTAGGGAAGACCAGTGTAAAATAATCACCAATAAGATTGAAAGAGTTTAAAAATATTTTTAATAACCTATTGCAGTGACCATGATATCCTTCTAAGGAGATCCTTCGTAGATGACAGCTCAGTCAGCCAGAGGAATTGTGTGCCCACCACATGCACAGACTACTTGAAATAATTCCAAAAAGATGAAGTCCTGTGACCAAGGATACCAGCCATTTTGGTGTTTAGGATGTGGTCAGTGGATAAAAAGGTAAAGACAGATGTAAAGCTGGTAAAATCTTCATATCTGCACCAAAAAGGAGAAAAAAAAGAGTACCTTTTTTACTAATGCTAATTTTCATGAAAATGTCCAGGTCATTTTCTGTAGGTCACTGAATCACAGAAGAGTGGAGTATACACACAATAAACGTAGCAGCATCTTTTGATGAGTGTGTGAGAATCTCATCTTTAATTGCCACAAGCCTGCTTTAGGATTAAGGATTAAGGGATAAACATTAATCCTACTGCCAAGTTGGAAGGCTTTTCTTCCCTTTAACTTCATAGCTAAGGGTCTTTCTGTTTGGACAGCAAGATGCAAGAGCTCTCTTGGAGCCTGTGTGAGTGCCGCTGTTACCCTGATGCCTTTCTGTGAAACACCACTTAGTTGTCACTGGCAGCACAAAAGCTCCCCAGAGATAAGGGAAAGATAGGATTCAACAACTTCAGGGTATATTTCTTGCCTGTAAAACCAATGCATGGAAGACAGTCCTCTTTTCTCCCTCTGTACCCCAAAACATTAGACACTAAAGTGGCAAACACTGTCTTAATTGTCCCTTATTATTTTTTTCTAAAGTGAGATGTGTGTGTATAAAATTACAGATTTCATTTGATATGCACACTGCTTTCATCATCAGTTTACAACTTTTCTTGTGACTGTTTCGAAAAGTGTATTTAAGCCAACTTCTTTATGTATATGTCCAGAGCCCAGCTAACTGAACAGAGACTGTTTTCCATTCATTTAATCTAAACCATTCTTCTTATTTAATTACCCCCAGATCTTTCTGCCAGAAACTGGCCAAGTGCAGCACTCAGAAACAGTATCAATAAAGAAATCAGCTGCAGGTACAAAACACATAGGCATGAAAAAGCTACTGGGAAAGGGAAACAAAGACCAGGAGGAATTTGGAACCTGTGGTGGGTTAACCCTGGCTGGATGCCAGGTGCTCACCAAAGCTGTTCTATCACTCCCCTCCTCAGCTGGACAGGGGAGAGAAAATACAATGAAAGACTCGTGGGCCTAGGTAAGGGCAAGGAGAGATCACTCTGATTACTGTCATGGGCAAAACAGACTTGACTTGGGGAAATTATTTTAATTTATTACCAGTCAAATCAGAGTAGGCTAATGAGAAATAACTACCAAATCGTAAAACACCTTCCCCCACCCCTCCCTTCTTCCTGGGCTTAACTTTACTCCCAAACTCTCTACCTCCTCCTCTGCCCAGAATGGGTCCTCAAGGAGCTGTAGGTGGATATCTGCTCCACTGTGGCTCTCCATGGGCTCCAGGGGCACAGCTGCCTCACCATGGTCTTCACCACAGGCTGCAGGGGAATCTGCTCCAGCAGCTGGAGCACCCCCCTCCCCCTCCTTCTTCGCTGACTTTGGTGTCTGCAGAGTTCTTTCTCTCACACAGTCTTACTCCTCTCTCCAGATGTAGTTGTCATTGCACAGTTATCTCCTCCCCCTTCTTAAATGTTATCCCAGAGGCTCTGCCACCGTCGCTGATGGCCTTGGCCTTGGTCAGCAGTGAGTCCATTTCACAGCCAGCTGGCATTGGCTTTGCAGGACACTGGAGAAGCTTCTGGCAGCTTCTCACAGAGCCACCCCTGTAGTCCCCACTTCTACCAAAACCTACACAAACCCAGTACAGAACCTTTGAGTAAGTGAGGGCATTTTTGCTTAGTTTAGATAATCTCAGCTAGAAGGACTTTCAGATTTTAAAAGACTCTTGATGCAGGTCAGAAGTTCTAGAACAAGAACTGCAACAAAGCCAAAGAAATCCTTTCTTTCTTTTCTTCTCCTTCCCCTTTCAAGCCCAGTTTACTTTACTCCATCTTCTTTTCCTCAGTGTCTTTCCCTTTTCACTATCCTTTGGCTTAGACATAGACCAAGTGCACCAGGATATAAACTCCTACACTGGTATGATCTACTGCATCTGCCTGCTTTCCACAGTGTGTCTTAGTCTGGATTTAAAGGTAAGGCTTCAGTAAGGTAAGTCTGGTAAGGCTTCAGTTATCTTTCAGGGGAATTTTGTTGTGCTAGCTGCCCAGTCAGAAAAGTAACCCCAAGCAAAGCCTCAGAATGAAGATTAGAAAGCATGCACAAACCTGACACAGCCCATGCATGATTATCTGCCCTATCCCTGGCTAGTGCAGCTCTGATCTTGTTTGCGTTGCACTGACCCTTCTGTGGAAACACCCAATCAGACTGAAGCAGACTTGAACAACAACAACAAACCAACCAAAACAGCAAATCAAAACCAGAAATAAAAAAAAGATACTAAGAAGCAATGCAAACAATGGAAACCGGTCTCTGTTGTTTATATGTTACAGGACTGAGACTTCCTCCAAAGTATCTAGAACAGTTGGGCTGCTTACCTATGGCTTTCAATTTTCCTGAGAATGGCTCAAAGCCATTGAGGCTAGAGGCTGTGACTGTGGGAAGTGGTAGCTCAAAGTGGAAGTAAATGCTGAAAGAAAACTGAGGAGTTGACTATAATACTCCAGTTGGGCAAAACAAGAGGAATACTGATTGGATGCAATACATGCCAGGGGCATGTACTGACAAAAGGAATTAGAGGACAGTAACATCCATTGCTAATTCTGTACTCAACACTGGGCTCTAAAGCTGAAGTCTGGTTATGGATTTTAGCTAAACTAGTGCTTTGGATTAAGCAACCATAATTAAGCAAGCAATATTCTATTCCAAAATAATTCAAGAAGTTTATCTTCCAACCCCTGCTCAGCAAAAAAATCACAGAATCACAGAATTGTTAGGGTTGGAAGGGACCTCTGGAGATCATCTTGTTCAACTGATCTAGCCCAACCCCCCTGCCAAGGCAGGGTCACCTAGAGCAGGTTACACAAGAATGCATCCAGGTTGGTTTTGAATGTCTCCAGATTCCATGACCTCTCTGAGCAGTCTGTTCCAGTGCTCTGCCACACTCAATGCAAAGAAGTTCTTTCTCATGCTGAAGTTTCAGTTTATGGCCATTGCTCCTTGTTCTGTCACTGGGCACCACTGGAAAGAGTCTGGCACCATCCTCTTGGCACCCACCTGTGAGATATTTGTATGCATTAATGAGTTCCCCTTTCAGTCTTCTCTTCTCTGAAGGAAAACTGAACAGGCCCAGCTCCCACAGTCTCTCCTCATAAGAGATGCTCCAGATCCCTCATCATCTTTGTGGTCCTCTGCTGGACCCTGTCCAGTAGCTTCTTGTCTTTCTTGTACTGAGGAGCCCTGAACTGGACACAGCACTCCAAATGTGGCCTCATTAGGGCCAAGTAGAGGGGCAGAGTCACCTCCCACAACCTGCTGGCCATACTCTTCCCAATGCATCCCAGGATACCACTGATCCTCCTGGCAGGAAGAGTTCACTGCCAGCTCATGGTCAACTTGTCATCCACCAATATTCCCAGGTCTTTCTCAGCAGAGCTGCTCTGTAGTAGGTCAGCACCCAACCTGTACTGGTACTTGGGGTTATTCCTCCCCAGGTGCAGTACCCTACACTTGGCATTGTTGAAAATCCTCACAGCTCTTGCATCCTTGTGTGCACAGCCACATTTCTGCAGGACAGATGTCAGGTACTGTTACCTGACACACTTACGTGCTTACAGCCTTCTGGTTAGAGCAGTTTCCTTGAGTGAGAACCAGACTGAAGCTTCTCAGACTGAGGCAGGCTAAGCACTCGGGTCTTCCACTTCCACTTCCTCTCTTTTCCTTGGCCGAAGGTTGAAAGAAAATGTTCATGGCTCACATGCCCTGCACTAGACTCAAAGCTGCAGCTCTGCTAGAGGTGCTCCACGCAGGCTCCTCCGAGGGAGTCTGCCAGGGGTCATGTTCTTTGTATTGACCTCCCCAACACCTGCAATTGCTGTGCAAGGCTTCTCACCCCGGGGTGCTCCTGTGCCATGGTTTACTTGCACTGGGAGCCACTGCAGATGTGGGGGTGCCTTGTGGGTTTATGACTGAAGGAAGGGCCTTTCGGGGACTTGGCTGCCTAAAATCCACTGAAATTCACCTGAATAGAAAAATGTGTCTCAATCTCATTCTTCAGATCTTGGGTCCCTTCCTGCCATCCAAATGAATAGAGTCTCCCTTGTGCAGCTTTCTCTATATATTCACATGTCAAAATTCTGTGAGGAAATGAGAATCATTCCTACTTCTTCTATCAAGTGCAGAACAAAATATCCTTGTCTAATGCCCTAATATCACTCATATTTTTTTCAGTCATGGCAAAAACTATGGGCATCTTTCCCAGAGCCTTGTGATAAACACTGGCTGTGAAGAACTATTTGTATTTGGCACTTGGTAAAATTTCTAGAAAAAAACCCCAAAGACCTTCAAAGAGCATCCTTTTTCTTTTAATCTAACAGAAAGCCTTACTGACAAGGAGTTTGTAATATTTATCTAGGCCATAAAAAAGATCTTGAAAGATATACTGCAAACAGTAAACCTTTGTTCTTAGACCGGTCAGATAAAGGCCAACTGCTATTGTGAAAATTTGTATTGCTGCTGTTATCTGATTAGATCAAATCTACTTACTGAAAGAAAAGTAAAGATCCGAGCTTTTGCCCAGGCTCTAAGCCACCATAATATATGCATTTGTGCTCATAAAAAGTTGAGCAGTGTAAACATACTTTTCATCATGGGGCCCCTCTAGCCAATTACAACCTAAAAAAGAAACTATTTCATTCATCATATGATTAATGAATATGCCCCCACCCCCTTGGCATCTCCCTTAAGTTGCTAGGATTCTTAACTGTAATATAGCATTTTCCAACTTAAAATCAGGAAGCATCTTATAAGGCAAGTGACTACTGAGGCAGTTCCTGTCACTGATGGAAAAAAACATAAGGCAATAAGGCATTTAATGACCTGACAGAGCAGAAGGACCATAAAATTCAGCCACTGGTTTGGGTGTAATGATGTAGTTCCTGTTTGTATTTATTTGTTTTGATATCCCATCAGATTATATGATGAGATGCAAACACACAAAGACAGATGTGATTCCTTAATTATAGGGTAAGAGTTCTTTAAAAGAAAACAGTCCCCAGAAGGATAAGAAAATAAACTTGAAAAAAACACGCTCTAGGCTATTTCTCCAGAGGACAGGAGTAAATTGGATAGGCAGAGGGAGGGTGCTGTAGCCCCAGACCCCAGGTCCTGGCCCCAGTTCAGTCATTTTTAGCCCCTAGCACATTTTTAAGTGTCTCCCTGCTGATTAGAGCCAGGCTGCTCCTTTCCCTGCCTGAGCAACCAGCTGGGCTGGTTGTTCCAGTGAAGCACCCCAGTGCTGGGCACTGGTCCATCTGCCAGCCCCAGGCAGCCCAGCTTCCCCCACCTCTGTGTCTCGGGGGGGATGATGAAGGCAGAGGGCTTCAGAAGAGGACCAAGAATGTTTCCTACAAACTTCTTATTTCCTAAGGAAATAGGGCTTCAGCAAGGGCAGTGAAGATTCAGGGGGCTGGGTTTTTTTTTTTTAAGTTGTTGCTACTGTTGTTTCCCAGTAGAGACGCTCATTCAAAGCTGCACAAACAACCTAGCAGTCACAGTCACCACTCAGATACATCCTGAGTCCATGTTTTCCTTTTTTCTTTGAAAAATGTCACGTGAGAACTGCTGGTCTAGACTAGAAGTCACTCCAGGGAAGAAATGTTTCCTTCTTATTAGTTCCCCTTCCCTCTTAGCTATCATTTTGGACTGTGTTTTTCACACAGTGGATTTAGCTTAGGAGCACAATGTCCTTTTTTTTGTGCTTGCAGGATAATTAGAAGCAGAGAGGATTTAAGCTCTCACCTGGAAGAGATCAAATTGATAATAGGAGAGGAGTCTCAAGAAAGACAGTCAAATTTGTAACTTAGAGGAGGCCAGCTTTCACAGATGAGGCAGAAATTCTTGAGGAAGCAGCAGGAAGTGGAGAAGCAGCATTCAGACGGTAACTCCTGGGTCACAAGCAGAGCTCTGTACAGCCTTACCTGCAAAAGTAACCTTTTCATAAAGCTCATCAGCACTGTCATGCCTGTGAAATAGTGGTCATGCATAAAACTGGTAATGGGTTGGTAGCCTGAAGTCAGCAAAGGTGACTAACTGGCTAGCCAGAGGGGGAATGGCATGGTCACCCCTCCTGCACTCCTGGGACCCAATCTGCAAATGTTATTTAATAAAGAACTATTAAAAAAATATGGAGACAGGTGCCTGAATATGTGGAGCCAAATGGAACAAAGAGATGGTTGCTTTTGCAAGGTTTTTTTACACATACATTTTAATAAAGCAATCAAAAGATAACAAGCTGCAAATGTCCAGTGATGAAAAGACCATAAATATAATACAAAGAGAGAGAAAATCTGCCAAACATTGAAGTGAAATTAGAAACCTGCTCTGCTCTTTCCTGTAATGGAGATGTTGAAAGGATAGTTTCTGAATTTCTTTGAAATAGGCTTTAGATCTGAATAAATTGGAGATTAGTTGGTGGAGGAGAAGAATGTAAAAATTTCACTCACTAGTATGGCTGACATAATCCTGTACTGTAGAACCTACGATGCAATGAAGACCTGTGAAGAAGACAGAAAAGTAGCTGGTAGCCTTTCTGAAACCATTCCTGAGGGAAGCTGTTGGTGAGTGGGTTGTTCCGTTGACTCACAGCACGGTAGTAGCATGCTAGGGCTCACCTGCATATATATTCCAGGTCTGACACCTAGGGACTGCCAAAACAGAAATCCCCAAGCAGCTTATATTTTAAATTCTGTCCCTACCCAGCTTTTTCCAGAGGGAAAGCTAGCTATGTCTTCATTTAGCACATTAATCTATCAAGTAAAACAGCTACTCTCAGTTCTGTTCTCTGCACAATGCAACACCAAACCATTTTATCTCACACCCCCCCATTCACTGTGGAAGCATTGGTTATTCTGGACTGGAGGCACTCTCCTCTTCTGTTACAGCTCTTCCAACTGAGTGAATAATGTTCAAGAGTTGCTAAATCAAAGACACACTTCAGCCTACTGAAGGGTTAGGGGATGCTTTGTATGGGGTCAAGGGAGGGAAGGGAGATCTGCTCTGGGCAGCTTCCGTGTTCTGACTATGCACATGTTCAACCCAGAAACCAATCCTTAGAGAACACCTTGGAACCCTTCTTGTCCTCCCCTCCAGTTGCTGCCTCTTACCATCTCAATCAGCTTCTTGCACAATGACACAGCTTCACAAGGAACCTGGAGGAGGCCAAAATTAGCCTGTTCCCAATTAGGATGAAGACATATGTCCCATTCACCCTGAGGCAAAGGATGGAAAGGGCTGAACTCTCCCACAGCTTGGGTGAATGCTCCCAGCCATAAGCCATGGAATCAAACATGTGCAGTTCACCACCCCATTTTAAAACACTACTGTGCTTTGGGCTGGCTCTGAGCTAGAAGCATGCCTACATCACAACACCTGTACCACGTAGCTGTATCAGATGTTGGCTGGTCAGCCCTGCCAGACTTGGGCACTGCTGGGTGTCTGCAAAAGCAAAACGTTTCATGCTTGAGTACTTGAAGTACTGAAGTGCAAGGTGGGAACTGCTGACATCCTGCAAGGCCAGGTGCAGGCATGTCTCATCAAGTCTCACCTCTGATGCCTTTGTGCCTCTTAGGGACTTTATACCCCACATACCTATTTTTTTCCCCATAAAATGAGGGTAATAATCCTTGTCTGCCTCGGGGAGGGCCGGAAAGTTGAATGAATGCTAAGTTACATACTGCTTTGAAAAATGCAGAAGTGCAACCCTGGTGCCAAAACATTCTCCTACGGGTGGATACCCTTATTTCCTGGCGACTGAAAAGGGAAAGACAAGCGGGGAAAGCGAGGGTGACGACCGACCCTTGGGCTGGCGTGGGCTGTGAAGGAGCCGTGTAAGGCTGCTGCTCAGACCCCCGGCTCCCACCCGTATCCCGGTGTCCCGGCTCACCTCCCGCCGGCGCCCGGGGCGGAGCGGAGCGGAGCAGCTCCACTCGGGAAATCGGGCGGCACCGGGGAAAAGGCTGGGAACAGCCGCGCCCCCGGGAGCGCCCCCCGCGCCTGTCCCCCCCACGCGTTGTTCCCCGCGTACACACCGTCCGGCTGGAGCGGGAAAGCGTGCTCGACCTGCAGGGAATGGCTGAGGAGCGGTCCCGGCTGGCCGGGCCGGGAAGGTGCTCCCGGGAGGGCAATGTTCACAGCGGCCGGGAACGGCGCTGCAGCTGAGCCGCCTTCTTGTGCACGGCGACCGTAAATAAATAAAGGGGCAGCGCCACAGAGAGCTGGGGTGCCGCAGGGGTAGGGCATGGAGGAGAGTGGTGGTGATGTGCATATGGAATGGGAAAAAAAAAATATTAAAAAAGATAGAGTCACCAAGGAAGAAACGCTGGGAGGGAATTTCCCCAGCAGAGTGGAAATCCTCCCCAGCTCTCCAAGACCGGCTGCTGGATACCGAATTCTGGGGCCCCAACATAAGGACGTGAGTGTTGGAGCACGTCCAGAGGAGGGTCATGAAGATGCTCAGAGGGCTGGAGCACCTCTCCTGTGAAGACAGGCTGAGAGAATTGGGGTTGCTCAGCTTGGAGAAGGCTTCACAGAGACCTTATAGCATGTTCCAGTTACTTAAAGGGGGCTACAAGAAAGTTGGAGAGGGGCTTTTTACAAGGGCTTGTGATAGGACAAGGGGGAATGGCTTTCAATTGAAAGAGGGTATGTTTAAATTGGATACTGGGGACAAATTCTTCATTATGAGGGTGGTGAAGCACTGGCACAGGTTTCCCATAGAAGCTGTGGCTGCCCTTTCCCTGGAAGTGTTCAAGGCCAGGTTGGATGGGGCTTTGAACAACCTGCTCTAGTGGAAGGTGTCCCTGCCTATGGCAGGGGTGGAACTAGATGATCTTTAAGGCCCCTTCCAACCCAAATCATTCTATGGTTCTGATTCTATGGGAATGGGTCAGGCAAGGGGAAACCAGACTGAGGGATGCAACCAGGACACAGGAGTAAGTTTTTATGGGCTTTGCTACATTTTAATCTGTAGGAGATGATCATACCGACTCACCTCAGTCTAAGCAATGTGAAAATTTGTGTTTGCTGGCTGCCTGGTGATTGAGCTGTTTCTTTTGGTCTTTTGCAGGTGGAAAGAGCCAGTTTATCTCTGCCTCTTACATCCAATACAGCTGAGTCTCTGATGTGCACTTATCTGACCCAAGATAACTGTAAGCAGGTGATCCTCTACTCACATTCTTATCCTATTTCTAATGGTCATTATATTCCATTTCCTACATTACCTTATACTAAGTGGAACACTTACGTTTCCTAAAGAAGTTAAGGTTGAATGACAGATCCGTAACTGAAGTAATTTATTTGCCTGTTACTGTAATTCTTAAAGAGGAATCCAGGAATGAAAAGGGGAGGTAAAAGAGAGGACAGAGTAATTTTTATTTTAAAAAATTATAGTAATTTAAATTTTCAGGTTGCACTGAAATAAAATTTCTGGAAATTGATGCTGTTTGAAAAATTGACAATCTCTGAGCTAACTCAGAGAGAGCAGAGAGCAGCACACGGCTGCCTGGCCTTATCTGCAGCAGCGAGCTGGGGATTTAGTAACATTGCATGGGAGACACAGGAGCCTAAAGCACTGGATCTCCAATATACATCATGTTAACCAAAGCATGACCTAATCTGGACCAGTTGGAAATGCAGAACTCAGGGCCATGTCTTAAGATTCACCTTTTAAATAAAATGAGACTCCACTCTGTTGGCGTTGCACAAGTCTCAGCCTCTTTTGGAATTAAGTGCCTGAGGCAGCTCTTGCTTGTAACTCACACCGAGTTATAGACCCTTCTCCTACCCAGGTTGCTCCTTATGGAGCCTTTCTCTTTTTAATAGGACGTGAATTCTGCTTCTGTCTCTGATGACCCCTGTTGTCACCCCTGACCATGAGGATATCTACAGAGGAAATTATCACTCTTTCCTGCTTGAGCTGTTCTGCTTTGTATGGAATCGACTGGGCCTGAGATGACACCAAAGTGCCTGTCTTCATACTAATCTGGGTTACATACCTTTAATTACTAATACTTATGTCACTCTTGTATTAAGTACTTACAAGTGACTGCATATGCATGTATTTTAATGGTCTTAATGCACCTCTCTGGGATATGTTTTGCTTATGTTAAATCAGGTGAGAAATTATAACACACTCTGGCACTGAAGCAGTATTTCTAAGGCCACTGAAAACAGGACCTGTGTGTTTGAAGACAAGTAATTTGGAATAGCATGTTTAAACAAAACACAGGGAACTGGAGAGAGCAAACAAATTCTTTAGGAAAAGTCCTATAGAATTCTATCAGGTCACGTGGGATATTAGAGAGTATCTGCGAGCGCCCATTGTTTCATGCAAATTTACACTGTGAGGTTGTGATACTTATGCTCAAATAAATAACAACTTATTTTCTGTTTGGTCCTGCTTCTCTCTTACTTAGAGTTGAATAGATGGAAGTGGATACTTTAAGTTCTGAGTATTTTCAAGATTAGTCTTAGCTGTAAGTGAGTAAATCTCTTTTCTACTGAGTCTACCACCATAGCACCTCTTTTTATGTGGTGACAGTAAAAACCAGCATCAGGTTTTAACCATGTGTGCCCTCAGTTCACACATCACAATATGTGTCTAAGGTGGATACTTCACTTATAATCCTGTTGTTGTAGCTTGTTGTTGCAGGTGGGAAGCACCCAGGATCTTGTCAAGGTCCTGATTTTGTGGATCTTGCCAACTTAGGCCTCTCATTGTTTGCCCATACACTCAAAAGGATGAGATATTTTATACTGAAGCAAGGCCTGGAATGCAGGGACAGTTTAGGTGTCAGCTAAGCCTGTTTCAGTTTGTGAATAAAAGCTTTAGAAGTGGCTGAAGCAGCAGGTAAGCAGGACTGCTGTCCTTTCATGGCTATAGTCCTTGAGCATCTTTTTGTTTAATACATAATGCATGTTTCAGCATGGAAGCAAGGTATTCACTGCTGCTTTTTGTACAGTCAACTGCTGCTAACAAGTGTTCATGAATTTACAGAAGTATTTTTTGCAAAAGCTTTTGCTAAGTTATGGTTGAAAATCCAACCTGGAACTTTTTTTGGTTTGGTGCATTGACTGATTTATCATAGAACACTGCTCACTATTATTACAACTGCACACTGGATTAAATCTTTTTGATTCAGTTATTAAAAACCTCCAGGTTTCAAATGCATAAATCACAGGACTCTATAAAGAATGTCAATGTATTCAGCTACTGTGGTTGTGTAACTCAGAAAAGAAACAGCTAAGCTGTTTGTTATTGCAGCTGTATTTTCTGTAGCAGCGTGCTGACATCTTTCAATGCTTTTCTGCACAGAGAAAGTAATGTAATTCCAAATGATGCAGATGAGCATGTTATGCATGTTATATTTTGATGACAAAAGGCACACCTACACAACCATCTCATGTTGTTCTGTCACTTGCAAGAAACGATGGAAACTAAAACAAAAGCTGTCTTCCTGCCAAGGTGTCTGTGTTGAGCAGAGACATGTTTCTTGCTCCTCTATTGTCTTATGCAAGTCACATACACACAGCAAGCTAGACACCTAGCAGGCACCATAAGGAATTAGGAAAGAGGGGGAAAAGAAAAGATGTCCTCTCCATTATACACATGAAAACACCAAAAATTAGGAACAATCACTTACAGAATTTTACTGTCTCCTAGATTTATGCAGCTTCTTGAAATCAAGTACTGAGAGACCTAATTTTAAGCATATTACTAATTTCAAGAAAATACCATATATGAAGGTTCATTTATGAAAGGTCAGTAAATGCTCTAACAGATTTTGTACAAATAGTCATTTGTCTCACGTTTTGATAGAGACAGGTTAATAGGCTGTTTCTTGCCATGGCTTATCAATAGCTATGATGTCTTCTACTGATGTGCAGGTAATATTTCCAGTGTATCCCACTCCATTTTAAACGTGCTAATAAAATACATTAATAATGTGCAACCTTTATAAGCCCCCTTGAAATGCAACTAGGATATAATCTTTATTGAAATAAGACCCAAACAGGTGCTCTCTCTTGTATTTAATGGAGTGTATTTAATACTGAAAAAATGTGCTTGAAGCCAAAGAACAGCCCCTTGTGTGTGCTGGTTCTGCAAATGACATTTGCCAGTTGTAATGAACTCAGACTATGAAATTCTAATAGCCACAGAAGGTTATCTATGGCGAATGACTAATACCTTCTAAATTAAGGTCTGTAATTGCACTCTGGTGATTAATGCATTAAATTACCAATTTCTTACATGTAAAACACTTGCCAAATGTGTATCTTATTGTACCTCTGAGCTCACCTATAATGTACAATAGGCAGGTGAAATACACGATCATTTCCCCCAGGCTTATTCCAAAGCAGGCTTCCACCCACACAAGATCAACGCTGTAATAAGGTCATTATTTCTGGAGACGAGGTTTTCATATCTTGCATGGGTAATGCCATTAAGTTCCTTTAACTTATGAGTCTCAGTTAAAATTATCATAATAAATACCAGGAATTGTTTAGTTTCCCCCCCCCCGGATTTCACAACAAACATAGCAAAATCTGTGATCTTCTTAATAAACCTCGAGCTTAAAAAAAAAAAAAAAAAAGAAGAAAAAGGAAAAAAAGCCAGTATTTGGGGAATTATTAAGGTGTTTTAGAAAGCTTTTATTGAAGCAGTGAACTTAACAGTTTGTCTACAGAATGGAGAGAATAAGAAAAGATAAAACTCTACACATACAAAGTTAATTATTCTCTCTTTATGCATATAGAAGAATCCAAAATGAGCCTCTGCAAATGAATTTCTTCCTGGTTTAGGGAGCACTGATTTTGATCTCAGTGTGCTTCTGTGAGCTTCATTCTTAGTGAGACTAAAGACTTTGGAGAGGCAGGTTTTTGCATTTATCTGCCTTTATAGCCTTGGCTACCACTGAGTTCAGTTACAAATATGACTGTGTTAATTTGAGCAAAGAAGAGAAAAGCAAGATCAGTAAAGGCTAACTGAGCAAAGTTTGATCAATTGATTAATGTGCTCTACTAGTCTCAACATAAGAATAATTCAACGTTACATTTTAGCTTGAAAATTATATTTTCATTTTAACAGACGTTGAAACCAAAGTTTCATCTGTTGAAATTAACACAGTCAGATCTTTGCAAAAAACCTCAGAGCTGTGCTTACCCTGCTTTAGATTCTCAAAAATAAGGTAAAAATATGCAAAAGGATAGTGTCAGAGGAATTGATTCAGCCCATTCTGCTCCTCTCCCAGGTCTGAGTAGATTGTAGGAGAAAAATATACTCCCACAGTTGAATTGTATAAAATACAACCCCAGATTGTCTGACCTCCACAGCTGTACAGGACAAATCCCTATTTTGGGCCCTGCTGCCAGGCCAGCCAGATGCAGCAGCAGCTTCCCCCTGAGGCCACTCAGAGCAGAAGGAGACCTTTGTTCAGGCAGCGTCCACCAGCCAGCCAGCTGTTCCCATATTCTGCAAAGAAAGGCTGACTGGAGCCGAAACCCGGTTTCATACTAACCTAAATACCTGTCAGAGCTGAGACTGCAGTAAAATAACCTGTGACACCTTTCATGTTATTGAGTTGTCTGCCATTTGTACGTGAGTATACATGAAAGCAGTAGTGCAGCCTCAGGTCTCTGCCCATGGAAACACCCTGGGAATCACACAGCGCACACGGTATCGTGTAAGACAGGAAAGAGCCTCAAGAAATAAGTTTCTGCAGTGTTAACAAAAAGGGAAGAT